GCAGCCATATGCAGAAATAGGCAGGTGCCTATTTGAGTTTCTTTCTTATTAGTAAAAAAAATCATTTTACTTTACAATTACGTGCTACTTTGCGTGTTTGTCTAAAATGCCAATAAAATACTTTGAAGTCTGTGAGGGTTGCATGACAAAAAGTCAAGAAGTTCAAAGCTGCGTCATCATTTTTCAACAAGAAATGACCAGAAATGTTCCAGCTGAAGCGGCTTTTCACTCATTGATGAGACAATCCAGTTGTGTTAAAACAAAAAAAAAACGGACAAAATCTCAGAAAAAGTCTTTTTTTTCTTCTTTTTTTTTCAATTTGCTCCTCCAAATGTCAAATACATGCTGAATACATGGTATTATTTTACAAAATGGTTTCAATCAAAGCTAATATTTTCACTTTGGTTAAGGTTGAGTGCAATATGAGTTTCTTAGCAACTACAATTGATGCCCTGAGACCCCATCAGAAATGTTTTCTGATGGCGTTCTCACGGATTACCGGGGCACCGATCTGAAAAGAGAGTTTCACGCAGAGCAGAAAGAAGTGCCGTCTTACAATTGAGTAATATCAGACGTAGATGTTATTCAATCAAGACTGCATCGGAACGTCAGAATGAAATGAAAAATCCCCCAGTACCTCAGCCATATAGAGTTTGATTCAGATTTAATCAAATACATTCGAGTGTAATTCAGTTGCTTCTTTACTACTGTATCTATTGAGGGGAACAATAATTTGCTGGTGAAGCATGTGGTCACAGTGGAAAGCAACAACTCTCTTTTAACCTGGTAACCTGGAACCTGGTTTAGTTTTCGCCTTTATCCAAAGTGAATGTTTTAACGCAATAATTTCTTACTATTGAGGAAAAGGATCCACTGGCAGATCATACTTGAAAGCTAAAATGTTTTCATCAATATTAAGGAATCATTGACAAGCTTCTATTTTTTGCGGAAAAGTTACTTGTAAGTTAGTCTTTTTTTTAGTGTACTAAGACATTCACAGTGTAAACTGCACCAAAAAGTACGTGCAGTTTAGTGTTTTTACACTAAGAAGGACATTTTCTTTACGGTTATTAAAAAGAGAGAGCAGAGGAACAACACGATCAAACTCCACATCACCATCCTATGCCGCAATGCTCACTCAGCTCTTGTCCAATTTGACCTCCGCTTACTTGTTTGTTAAACTTTCCGAGTGCGTTTAATTGATCGCACTAAAAGCTTGTCGTCAGTCATTTCAAAGTGTAATTGCTATTTAAACCACAACAACTGCTTATTGTTGCTGCCGTCTGAATTGAGTGGTGGATTCAGTTGTGTCTGTATGTTTGCGGATCCTATGTTTTCTGCTTAATGAAAACAGCAGCCTATGCAATTAACGCCGGCCTACACATGCATATTTAACGCTCTTTAACAACATCCTCCAGATCCAGATAACCTGCGCTTAATTAGCTGGTATTATTAGGCAAAACTGGTGCTTGTTTCGCTGGAGGAGGGAAAAAAAATCATCTCTCATCTGCCCTCCATTTGAAGTCAAAAATCCACAAAATATGGTTGTGGAAAATATTTGCCTTTTTTTTATCACTGTAAGCGGAGTTTCTACTGTGAAAAACAACAACAACAGAAAACGTCAACAAATGAATACACTGTGTCAAGGTGAGGTATTTGGGAGTTGAGAAGATCATTTGTCTCGTCGCGCACCTCTGTCACTTATCATGTCGGATCAGAGGGGTGGAGCAGAAATGATCCCGAATGGCTGACTCTCTCCCGCATGCGGAGCGAAAACCAACACGAAACAAATTCATTCAGGCTCCGCCGCAAGACAGGCAGCTTTCTCCGTCACCATGCTTGGACTGTTCTGACGCGGAGGTGAAGGGGGCGGAGGGGCGTCTGTCACAGTGCACATGACAAATAGCGGCGTAGTTTATTAAGATAGAAGAATGCTGATCGGAAAGGCTGGCTGGCAGGAAAGCGGAGGGTTGTGCTTCTACTCCTGCGTTGGTGGAGCTTCACAGCATTCCAGGTGTGAAGTTCTATTTCTGTGATTGACTGAGAAAACTGGCACTTTCTTCTTCCTGCCGCTGCTTTTCTCAAAAACGCTGTGAGCGTTGAGAAGGCCAGGCAACAGACCAAGATGTGATCTGCCACGTTATTATTCTTTTTTTTTTTCTTTTTTTTTTATTTATCTTGCAGAAAATTATGTCTGGCAGTTACTTATCTGAACTCTGATTCTCCAGTACAGCCTGAAAAAAAAAAAAAAGGTTTGTCACTGTTTCAGTTCATCTGACAGTTTCTACTGCAGCCATTTTTCTGTAGATAAAGTCATACTTACTTTTCTTGAAAGGCATGTTCTTTTATCTTTCTCGTTTTGAGGAGTAGGTAAATAAAAAGAGCCTCTGCATAACATCATACATCACGAACCATGTTTTCATTAATACTTATGTTTTTATTAATACTAGTCATAGCAGCTAGTAGCAGCTACTAGTCAGCTCCGTGAATCTTTTCTTCACGGAGACCACAGACCAGCTTCCTGTGGCGCACAAAGAAATTTCTGTAAAATTTGGTTTATTTTCCACCACAGGAGCCTTTTTTCCAGGAGCCAGGGTAGTTTCCTGGGGGCCGTTATTACTCCTGCATTTCCGCTGCATCTACTGGGGTAGAAATAAATAACCAGACACCAACCTGAGAATACACCGTGAACAGAGGGTTAGCAGTTTTTAGTTTAAAGTGTATTTTGGATGGAGTCTTGTGACAGGAGAGTTCAATTTGTCAAGGTGATAATTCAGTCACTTTAAAACAGCCTTTCTCTCAATTGAAGGTCCAAAATATTTTAGTTATTTGATTTCTGTTTACAGCCGTCTGGGGAAGAAGGAGGGGAATCATTGAAAATATCATTTTGGTAAATTTAGCAAATGGCATTATGAATCACAGACAAGATCAACTACGACTCTATATGTTGTTAACAACTGTTAGTTTTTGGCCTGCAACCTTTTACCATCCATCCTTTGACCTCAGTACAGCTAAATAACATTTTAGGGTCGCAAATGTTACATGTTAACCTGTTGTGAAAAGTCAACTTAAATTTTTTAAAATAAATATCTACACCATATGTGTCAGGTCTTCTTGTGTAGCTGGGGAACTACCGTAACTTACCTCTCTTCCCCATTGTCCTCCCCATACTAACATTTTACTTTAAATTTCCTGTTTCATCATATAACAGAAGAAAAAAAGAAACATTTCCGTTCCTCACCAAACTGTAATTTTTCACAAGCCTCACAAGAACTACCAGCTGGTCTGGTGCAGGTGCTGACAGCAGGAACAAACCAGGTGTGATCGGGTGAAATTGGTTGTGGCAAATTGTTTCTAATTTCTTTCTTGGCCGGTCAGTTCTTTAAGATAACACCAAGGAATTACATAAAAACACAGAAGATCAGTTTTTTGCCCCCCCAGAGGGCAAAAAACTGCGATGACTACAATTTGGTTTTAGCTGTCAAGGTGTCAGCATAACGTGCTGAATGTGCGCAGGTTATGATCTGTGAAAGCAAAAGGAACGCAGTGCTGTGCTACTTACTGTCAACACTCCAGCTGGATAACAAGGTCAGAAAAAAGTTGTAATTAAAAAAAACTTTGAGAGGGAAGTAGGTCAGTTATGCTAGCTTGACTTTGATAATCGTAACATGTAGATGTGCTGCAGAATTTGGTGTGTTTCGGTTCTGTTAAAATTTTTTAAAAAGGCGACCTACTCTTAAACCAGCTAGTCTCCCACCGCTGTGATTTTAGCAGATTACGAACTGCTAAAATCTGCATTGGTTCTACTTATGTAATTTCAGTGAAGTTACTACAGGAGGAGCCATTTTGGAAGGTCCAAAGAGCCACAGGTTGCAAACCCCTGGAATAAACACAGATTTTTTAAATGTACACAAATAAAAGTTTGGATTTTTCTCAATCTTTCAGTGTCACAATGTCTACTGATATGAAGGCTCATATAATTTCAGATGTCTTTATCCAGGGTGCCACTAAATGTAGAGCAGGTTATTTAGTTCCTGGGCTATAAATGCACATTGTTCCTCTGCAGCAAAGAGAGTAGCTGTTTTATGACACTCATTTCATTGCCTGAACCTACATATAAACCTTTACACTCAGTGGTTTGTGTGCTGTGCTTTATACCGTCATGCTGCTCATTGGATGATTGAAGGGTTGGTTTGCAATTTTGACAGGCTGACAGAATGAGAGCGGTTGTTATTATTCACTTTAATTATCTGATCAACTATTTTACAAAGTGAATAAAGGGAAGGAAAGTGAGACTGATTCAAAGTTGAGAATCAATTTATTTATTTTTTTGCTTTTGCTCTATCATGATGGATTCCACTGACGTCGTCACGTGAACTGCATCTAACTTAGCCAGTGTAATATAATTTTAATTGTATGGAGTTTTTTTTTTTTTTCTGTGACAAGCTAATAACATAACTACCTCTTTTTACTAAACATCACAGAGAAAGCATGCAAAACTCATAATAGTTTGCATCAGTATTCATTAAATCATTTCACTGCATCTGTTTCCTGTGACAGAAGACTTTATGTCTCGGGGGAGAAACTCACCCCAAGCTATCGATAGCATTCAAAGTAATTATGCTAGTGAATCAAAATATTAGAAAAGCACATAAACCTGGAAAACCAGGGTTGTAACAGTTTTGGATTTTTCATTATGGTGTTTTATTTCATTGTGACTTTTTGTTTGTGTAATTCAGTCAGTATTAGTTAGTTTTTTAGAATGTGTTTAACAGTTTTTATTAGTTAAATATTGTTTGGTTTTAGTGTAGATTTCATTACTTGCAGTGGTGCCTTTAGTTTTTTTATACTTTTGCTTAATTTTTAGGTGCTAAATTCACAATACAAGTATTGCATTGTGATGACATAGACGTTGATTGAGCAATGAATACTCAACAGAAGACGCCATTTTCTGTTGAGTTAATGCAACAGAAACCCTGATCTGTTATTTCTCTCTGCAGACGGCTCTGAAGAGAACCCGGTGAGCGGCATTCCCCACCGGCCAGTGATCGGGTGAGTTCCCTAACATGAATTACATTTGACCTATTACATAACCAGAAATTCAGACTCCAAACATGAAACAGGATCAGATTTTTTTTTTCAGTTGTCATTATGCAGATCAGAAGGACTTTAACCCCTACCATCCTTCGACACGATCGATCGCCCTCGGGGTTTGAATACCCCATTTATCACTGGAGCTAGCCGAGCCTCCGGTTCCCGCCATGTTCAGTGCCGCGGCTCCCACGTTTCCGAACTCAAACGGAGCCGCAGAGGGCAAATAAAGCGTTTTTCGCTCCGACCTCTGGGAGAGGAAGAGAAAGGGGCCTGTGCGTGGCGACTCTGTCAGCCTTCCTCTCACTGAGTCTGGGCTGGCCCGGCGCCACCACTGGCTGCCTCACGGCCCGCTCAATGGGAGTCGGCTCCATTATCGGAGCGGCTGCCTCGCCGCCCTGCAGCAGCCCCAGCAGTCCTCTGCTCCTGCAGATTTAATTCCTTATCTCAATATGGAAAACAGACCCTGTGACGGAGAGCAGAAAACACCCAGGGCTGCTTGTGAACACGAGCCTGGAGCGGGCGCGCATACAGTAAGATGCCTCGATAAAGCTGTCAATTGCGGCACATTTAGAAGACGCGGGGTTAAAGGTCACGGACCAGTAAAGGAATTTTCTGCGTACGATAAGCAATTATTAAAGTTAATCGAAGGAACGGTTTCTGAGGCTCGCTTGCAGAGCCCACAAATGTCTCCGATGCGCCGGACGTATTCGCAAAGACAAGCGAGTTGTCCTCATGTTTTGTTTGCAGATTAATAATAGCTGCTTCGACAGACTGCTGAACTCTCAAATGACAGAAACTCAGCGGCAGCCTCGCGTGTGCTCCCTTTGTTAAAAGTCTTGCATGAGCACTTTATCACCTCTTAGAAAATGGAACAGCTGGGTATTCTTAATGACAAGTTTTTCATAAATGTACTTCTGCAGGGGAAAATAAGTCTTCTCGGCATGACATCACTTTGGAGATTTTTTTTCTTCTTCTTACCGTTTTACCAATTTGTTTTTTCTTTCTCTTTTATTTCAATACAGTTTGTGATTAAACCAGTTCTCTCACCTGGCTTGGCGAACGGTCGCACCTGTAATGGTAGCAGAAAAAGTTCGACTGAGTTGCTTTTACAGACCTGCGCTCACAGTCTCGTCAAAATGTCATGAAAAAGCAGCAGTGGGCTGAACTTGTCACCTTTCGCAGACTTGTGAGGGAAAAGGTTTTTTTGCGTGACCATGCTGATCATTTTTGTTTCACTTTATGCTAATCATCTGACAGACCTGTTCTTACCGACAGAAGTGCTTTTTTACCAGTTGTCTAATAAAGAAAATTGTAATAATTGACTTCTAAATAGCTAAATCCTGCAGAATAAAGTGGAATAGGAAGAAGGAAAACAACAACTCCTTGTTAGAAGAAAGAAAGAGTTAGCCATGATATGAAGAACATTGGTTCTGTCATGGTCTTGAGTTCTGTGTCATTTTGGGTTGAATTTGTATTTTAGTAGATTCTGATGTTCAGTCATTATTAGAGTGTCTTAGTGCTTAGCTTTTTATCATTTTCTTGATTCTGATTTTTTTGTTTAGATTTTGCTCCCTTCGTTTCTCCCTCTTGTGCTGTTTTATCCACCAGTGCAACAGTTCACTGGTTTTCACTGTTCCAATCGTTCTCAGGAGGACTTCCTGTTTCCTTTGTGTTATAATTAGCGTTGTAGTTGGCTAAACTGACATTGCCTGTGTCCTTCGTGCATTTGGGTCTCCAACAACCACTCTGCCAGCCACAGAGTAAAAACGTGTTGCACACAGTGCAAGAGTAAAAACGACCCGAGTTAGCTTTGGCAAACAACGGCCAAGCGAGAAGAGCTCGCTCCACAAAGTTTTCATCACACAAATGCATAAATACGAAACATGTTCAGTCGCGTTTTGCCTTCTAAACGCGATGCTGTCGCTGTCGTTCGTCCGTGCTGCATGGCCGCCCCGCAATGCGATTGCTGCGTAAATGAATTGTGTGCTGCACTACAAGGAGCCGCGATGGTGAGGACTGCCTGTAAGGCAGACGGCTGCTCATATTGACATGTTTGTGCCTGTGAGTTTCTTCTGGTACCTCTGGGGGGGATGAAGCATTCTGGGTCAATTGGTAATTTAAAATTTACACTCGGTGTAAAAACTGTGTACTATAGGGACCAGATGACAGAAAGTTTTAGCAGCTTTTAGGATCACCTGCCTCCTCTGACTGCACATCATTGGACTGCACGCTCCGGCGGTATGTCGGTCAGAAAGTTAACTTTTATCCTCAAAGTCGATGGGTCAGGAGCAGGATGAACGGACAAGTTTTAGGATATCCTAGAATTTGACAGAGGCCAACTTGGCTGTTGCCAGGCTACAGTAGGTCAGTATTTAAAAGAAAAGAAGGAATAAAAGACCCAAGGAAGGATGAGTGATGAAACAACGACAGGGTCTTGAATAGTCAAGGCTCACTAATGCATGTTGGGATCAAAGATTGTCCAATCCAACAGACAGACCCCTCACATTACTGACAACGTTACTGGTGAGGGTGATAGGAGTTGGAAGACACAGCCTGTAGCACTTTGGTGTGTGTATGTCTGTGTGTGTTAGGGATGCATTGATGCAGCGCATTGCTGTTCTTTGAAAATGCAAATGCAAAAAAGCGTTGAAAGACCTCAGGAATAACACATTTGGTGTTTTTTATAAACCCGACCATCGTCAGGTTGCTGGGCTTTCCATAACGTGGCTCTCTGAGAGGAAATAGATTTTTTTTTTTCGTTGCTTTTAGCCGGCAGTCCTGCAGGACGCTCATCTTGCAAAAGAGGAGTGCCTGTTACTTTAGCAGTGCACAGACCAGCAGCTCAGAGCAGCTACAACAGCAAATAGAAAGGTAATAATCCATATTATGGGCTGCGACCAAAAGTCCTTAAAGGCAAAACCATGGAATTAGCTGCTGAACTCGCTTGGAAATGGACGAAAGAAGACGTGGCGATTTAATGACATCAGCAGAGTACCTGGCTCTTTCAATTATTTTCCACACAAAAGATTTCAGCATGTGGCGTTGAATCAAACACCAGCCGGGCAGCGGTCATGAAATCTTTGTTTCCACCCACCCCTTCTTTTATTTTTTGTTTTAACTTGTCAGTGTTGCTCTCACTCAGTAATGAACTGCGTCCAGCAGCATTTTGGCACCTTTGACATCTTGCTACATGTGAGATCTTGATGAAGATACTTTTGCCAGGTTTCCTTAAAAGCTGTGACTGCACAGAAAAGGATCTCAACGGCACAACTAATTAATGAAGCGGAGTTCACCTTAAGTTCGCTTGCTTGGGATGTTCCCGTTTGTGCTAATGGACTCGGTTGCGCTCGTGACCTTCCACTGTCTAGTCTGAATTTTGCATCCGTAAGTCAAATAGAGGCTTGTAGACCAGAGCAGACCTGTAGAGCAGCGATGGCATAGAAACTTCTCAATGTGAAAAATGTAAATCGTTTGTAGAGTTTTAATAATTCCTACGATATCAAACAGAAAGTCTTTGCTTGGGTTTGTTTGATAAAGGTAAATGGCAAGACGCGCCTCCTATCTGCACGCTGATCAACACAAACACAGTCATCAGTCAGCCTCATCCCACACTCTTGACAGCTTGTTGTAAAGAAATAACCAGTGATTTTCATGCTTTTTGCATCACAGCCCGTCTCCTGTGCACTCAGGAGATCCATTACCATACAACACCTCATTTATGTAGCTGGCTTTCAGAGCACATCTGCGCCACGAAATCTCTTGCTCTAATGGGCAGCTCCAAAAAACAAAACAAACGAGACAAAACAAACAAACAAACAAAAAAAACCCACTCTAGATTTTTGATTCTTGTGTGAAAACAGCTGTCGTCACGGCTTTTCGTTTATTTGGGTTTTGAGGAGTTGGTTTCACTCTTGTTTACATTTAAAAAGCACAAACTGAAGTCATTTTAGCCCGTACCAGTCACACTGACTTAATGAAATATCTTTAATAGCGCCATATTTAGCATGTAAACATGCAGCAGTGCTTCACTGGTAAATGCTGAGTAGGTAATTAGTAGACTTTAAGACAATAGCTTGCAGTAGAAGATACTCACTTAGACTAATGGCAACTGAATGGTTTCCTGTAATGTTCACAGTGTAATTACATGCTAATTATGGTTCTTTGGATGGATGCTGTACCCTGCATTTTTATCAATTTACTGACTACAGTTGGTTCAAAATATAAGCAGCTAATTCACACCCAAAAGTAATCATTGACAGTTTAATTTGTTTTTATTTCTTTTTTTTCTCTCTCTCTCGCTTCTTTAATTTGAGAAATAATAGGAAACTTTTAGCATGTACATATTTTCAGTAGGAAAAAAAATCTCTGAAAATTTAGCCTGTTATGAATATTGAATAAGTTCTTGCTTTCTCTAAGCTTGAGACTGGTCCAAAAATAGAAAAAAAAAACTAGGGTTCAGTTTAAAAATGAGGGCAACTCCAGATGGGGGAAAAAAAGTAGCTTTCTAATAAACTTACGATTTCAAATGGAATAATAAAGACTGTAAAACTGCTGATGTGTATATCAACTTACTTTTCTCTTTGATGACTCTTAAGAATTGCATATTTAACTCCCATTTAATGATCTATCTGATGGATTTACTGAATGACGTCATGTTTTCTCACACATGAATTCATGGAGAATATGACAGAATCATGTCCAGCATCACAGCGGTCAGCTGGAGAAATAACTATCATTTCTGCTTGTATCCAACTTTTTAAGCCAAGTGATTTTTGAGTCAAAAGAGAAATGTTAATTTAAAAAAAATACTTTGAATTGAATTAGTGTGGCTGCTTTAGGACACTAAAATGCCTATTTAACTTCCCATTCTCCAAAACTTAACAAAAGCGTCATGAGAATTACCTGAGGTTATAAAAGAATCCAGTGTTGTCTGTACAGAATCCAACAAATTAACATAT